AAACAACAACAACAACAACAAAAACAAAAGCAGCAACAGGCACAACATAGCTCATATGGCTTGCAGATTTATTTTGCAGGCGTCGACTTCGAAATAGTTGAGCGCCGCGCAAATTACAAATTCAAATTTAATTAAGTAAAAAATTAAACAAAACCAAAGATGCAGACGCGTCTGCGTTGTAGTTTGTCAGTCAGCAGTGAGGAAAGACAGAGAGAGAGAGAGAGAGAGAGAGTGGGGGGCAACGGGTGACACAGCGTCTGTCAATGTGACAAGCGACAAGCATCGCAACATGGAGTTGGAGATGGAGTCGCAAACGCAGCAGCAGCAACGGCATCTCCGCCAACGGCATGCAAATCGATCGCATCGACAGCGACTGCAACAGCGGGCACTTCAATCGGGTTGTCGCCTCAACGCAGCTAAAAATGTTTCAATTAAATTAAAATCAAATAATAGCTACATATGCCGCACTTCGTACAGTGCCTACTCGACTTACAGCACGCCTTTTACGGCCAGTCGCAATTGGCCTCGTGTGCTATCGTGGCAGTCGAGTGAAGGTGTTCCACTGGATAATTGCATGCAACATGGAGTTACCTATAACTATAAGCTATGCACTTGCCTGGACGCTACACCGTAGCGACCACCAGCAGGCATCACTACCATGAATTATGAACACCAATTTCTTTGCCGACTTCTACAACGTGCCCAATCTGGCGTACGCCTCTTGGCCGCGACCATTGCGTGTCCATTAGTTTTGGATATCAATTTGTGGCGTTGGCAATAGGGCTGGGCAAGCATTTAATTTCATAATCAACGTGATCAGGACTTGATGTCGTGAAATTACAGAGCAACAGTTGAGTAGTGACATAAAGTCATACTGAGAACTATTATCAGCAATATGAACTTCTCCATATAACAAATATGACTTCTTAAATCCAATCCAAACAATGAGAAGAACTCGCTTTTATTAGATTCAGCTTAACAAAGCTCTGTCAATGGAATGTTTTTAACCACATATGACTTTCATCATGTTTCTCTAGTTATATGCAGTATTAATCTAGAGGTCATGATTAAAAAACAATCATTTCTTCTGAGAATCGTCTCAATTTTGAAGAAACATTGACTTTATTTATTACAGTCCGAAGTATGCGCGATGCCGCAAGCCATCTTCAGTTGCGTCGATTCCATTAAGCCATCCATCAGAGTCAACGTGAAAGCTGTAGCCAAAATGTATTTGCATTTTGCAAAAAGTTGCCAACTGTGCAATGTTTGATTGTAGCCTGCAGGGCTCATTCACAGTCACATTCACATTTGAACGGTACTTTGCGGCCATAAAACGTTTAGCCAATTGACGCGTCAGTTGTCTGGGACTGGCTGATGCGTCAGCTATGCGTCGATTGCAACGTGCAACCTGTTGTCGCAGCTGCAGCGCCGGCCAACTAATTATGAATCAAATAAGCGAGTCGCTGCGTAGAATCGTCGCGGCTGTAGCATAATGCATAATAATGTAATATTTAAGCATTGAGTTTATTGGCGGCACCTACATGAAATCATCATTAAATGCTGCAGACACCGTTGCTTTTTGTTTTTTGCTGTTGTAGAACTCGTTTGCCGCAATTTGTGGCATTAGTAGATGCTGCAGACATGTTAGCTCCTACACAGCACTCGACCCATTTCAGGCCAGGCCAATTGATGTGACTTCCGCTCTATCTAAGCTTCAAGCCATAGCTAAAAGCCACAGTCACAGCCACAAACTGCGAACTGCTGCTACAGCCCAGGAAGTGGCCAAGACACAGAGTCGGCAACGGGGCTAAGACTTTTCAATATAAATCAATTGCGATATTTGCCTCAGCGCATACCAAAGTAGCAGCAAACGGAACTGGGCGCAAGACATACGTCAATATGGTATAGGACATGAGAATTGGCAAAAGAAAATCTTAAGACATTTCAAATTTAAAATGCGATTTTGCCCCGCACATACACACACACACTCACACACACACACACACACACATACGAGCATACACACACGAACATACACACACGAGCAATTGGAGCTGCACACATATGCCAAGTCAAATTGAAAGGATAATTCGCCCGCAAACACCCTCCTGGGTATGCAGCCCGCCCGGAGACTCAACTCGACTGCTACCCATTGAGCACCTCTGCCTGCTCTGACTCCGCTGCCCCATTCGGCTGCTGATGGCATGCTAACACGCCTTTGAATTTGCCAATTGCTGTTGGCGCACGTACAAAACACTTAAATTTGCACAGCGGCAGCCAAGACACAGTGCCAGGCTCTAAAACCAGACTGAGGCCAACTGCTTACGTACATGTCGTACACATCCATACATATATACATATACACACATATAGTTGCATATGTATAGATGTAGTCCGCAGCCGGCCAGGAGCCGTAGTCACTGCCAGGCACTGGGATGCCACGGACGACGCTGTGAGCACGTTTAAGAAATAGAATTTTTAAGCAAGTGCGTTCAAGTCAGTCCAGGACCAAGTCGAAGTCAAGTCCGTAGTCCGTGTATGTTTGCATTCTTTAAGGTTTATTTTTTCCTTATTTCTCTTTTGATTTCAAGTCATATTAGCTGCATCAATTGCTTTAACTTATTTATTATATTTGTTAGAAGCATGTAGTGTCTTAAAGTAAACAATTATGGAATCTTATGTAAGTAAAGCATTCTGCTTCATTAAAACTACATTACTAGTTGGGAGCAGAGTATCTAGCAGTCACCTGCAGGTTTTCTCTTAACTCCTTTGGCTTCTGTGAAAACATTTTCAAGTGCACTTAAGCGTCTCACAGCTTTACAGCTAATGAATAGCGCCTGGTTCAATATGATTTCTTGCACGATTTGTTTGTTAAAAGTCAATTAGTTGATGAAGCATCTGAGAGGAGCAGATATTGTTTCTCAGTCAGTAGCACTATTTGGCAGCCCACACATGAATCTTGCGTTGGTGGCTGTGGCTGCGTCGTCTGCTGCCGCTCTGCCACTGCCAATCCCAGTCCCAGTGCCACAGTCATTGCCACAGCCACTGCATAATAAATTCGCTAACCACGTAATGCTGCAGCTGCAGTGCAGGGATTTGGTATACATTTTTTATGCGCTGCCCGCCCGCTTTACCAAGTGCCGGAGACACTGGCAAAAGTTTAAGAAAAGTCAACAGTTAACAATGCGGCTTCAACGTGTCGCCCGTGCGGATGCGGATGCGGATAAAACCACAGAAGCAGCAACAGCAGTCGCCGCAGCAGGGCTAAAGTTCGTGAGCTCTAATGGCATATTGCGGGCCAGTGTTATAGCGAGCCGACGGCGCTCCTGGGATATGACCAGCATGTGGAGTGTGTCTTCAAGTGCTTGGGGTCCTGGGCTGTCGAGTTTGGTTTTGGCTGCCAGTTGAGTTTGCCTTTAAAATGGCTAAAACTTGCTGCTAATTGGATTTGTCAACTCAATAAAAACTGAATTAAATGCATTTTGATGGTGTGACTTAATGTTGGTATTGGGTTCTTTGACCAGTCAACAGTCAAAACTTAACAAAAATAAAAAATTAAGCAAACTTGGCAAGCAACATGCATAGACAAGTATGCAGGAGCTGCATACTTTCGTCACAGGACGAAAGGTTTTTGTTTGGTCCCAAAAAACTTGTGCATATTAAAATGTCATAAAAAGCAATGTGCACAATTTCCGCTGCCAATTGCATTAAAATGCTGAACTAGAAACAAAACAAAAATTCTGGCAGTTTTATGCTCGCATAACAAAACACTTTGCAGTGTAACGCTGCGTATGTGTAATTTTGGCAGACGTTGCAAAAGATAAAATGTCATTAAGCTAAAAGTGCAGCACGCACAAAGACCAACGGCTGACCAACTGCAAGCTGCAATTGCAACTTTAGCTGAAGCTGCCCACACAGTGGTCAGTGTTTGGCTTCGCCATCGACTTCAGCTGTGCCTCATTGCGTGACCGCGACTGCGACGGCGAATGCGATTCCGATGACGCCTTCGCATGCCGCAACAGCAGGATGTGAAGTGGAGCCTCCTGTTGGCCAGATTACGCGCATGATATGCTAATTTACATGCAGTGCCAAGAGCCAAAGCCAGAGGAGAAGCCTTGTTGTGGGCGATCGATGGCCATGCGAGACCATTGGGATTGTCGCTTGCAGCCCAGTCGCTTGCGGTACGGGGTCCACGGGGCACACTGATCGATATCTGGCAACTGGCGAAAAAATGTGGTAAATACAAGTAATCGAGTTGTAATAAATTTAAAGTGTGGGGCACCCACAAAAATACGCCAAGGCAAACTTGCTGCACGCATATTGACACGCACAGCAGCAGGATCGGGGTGAGAGAAAGAGGAAGAGACAGAGGGCGTGCAGTGAAGCAGGGTACACTATAAAGTCCAAGAAAAGCTGTTGATTTTTAGCAAACATTTCACCTGTTTGCCCGTTTGGTTGTTTGGTTGTTTAGCTGTTTGGCTCGCCGACTGTTGAAAGTTCGGCCCGAGAGGCCATTTGGCAAGTATTTTTATGTTGCGGTTGCGACCACTTCAAATCTACTGACTGACTGAAGTTTTTGCAACAGCAGTTGCATGCAACAAACGTCAATCACCCGCACAAAGCCAAACCGTTTCGCTTTATTGCTATGGAAAATTGTTGATTTGCCGCTTGATTGCGTGCATGGAGTACAGTTGGGGTGCTGAAGACAAGCGGACTGCATCGCAGATCGGCCATTGGTAAAACTATCGAGTGACTGTGGTCTGTGCACTGTGAAGAGCAAAGCCCAAAACACCGTCAAGCAACGGGAAATGGCAATGAAAGTGTTGGTCAAATGAACGATTAAGCGAGCCTCTTCAACAACCAAAATTATACAAAATGATCGCAGTGCCATTTGGCGAAAGAAAGGAAAGATGTTCTCAATTAAGGAAATCTTCAGATTTATTTTCTTTTAACATTACATATTATTTAAAATATGTAAAAGTCTCAAAAAGATAGTTAGCTCAATATTAGCCAGCAGCAGCTTTCAATGCATCGGCGCTGAGGCCCACGGCAGGCAGCATCACGCCTTCTTCCTTAATATAACTGTACTTGGCCACATAGCCATTAGGACCGGCTTCATATGTAACAATCAGTCTGCCGGACTCGGGGAAATACAGCTGATTGAGCTGGCCCTTCACAAGAAACTCTCCAGGTGCGATCTCTTCAACGGTCTCCTCACGTACAACGCCAAAGTCATTAATTCTATGTGCAAATTAGACATTAATAAATAATAGATAAAAACTGGTCATGTATACTTTAGAGTATATTTGTGGTCACCAACTGGCTCGAGCTGAACGTCATTATTTTGAATACGTGGCACTATTGCCGATAGCGTCAAATTGACAAGTAGAACAAGAATCAACTAAATAAAGGGAAAATTAGCAAGCATTTGACTTTTGACACTTTGCAAATATACATCTTACCGAATTTAGTAAATTTTGACACATCTTTCGATCTTTCTCACACGGTGTCTGGCAGTAAACTAGATTGACAACTTCAAGCGACTCATCTCTATAGTTAAAAACATATTCGAAAGATCTTAAATTAAGACGAAAACAAGTTTTGATTTCAGAGACAACCAAGAAACAATAATACAAATTTGTGACCTTCAGTGTCAGATTGTGTGACAACAGAGCCACCCACAAAGACATCAAAAAGAGCAGTATAAAAAGATGGGTAATTTTTGCATTTGAAACTTGAGTGAAGTAATCAAAAAACTATTAGTTCGAGGTGATTAAAATAATATAAGTTAATAGTGAATGTGTGCTATATGTTATATACAGAAATATGTACCAGTTAACGAGCACGAGACCAAAGCGTTGTTAATGCAAAGGCTTATTCAAGTTGCTCAGCTCGAGTGAACTCTTTTACGACACAGACTTTTACGCCGGAAATACTCCCTACGGCGCTATATGAGCCCCAACTGGGTGACTGTGCTCCGTTGCTGGGAACGGAAGCCGCTTTTTCCTTAAGTTTTATTTTTACCTACAACTGCTGGCAATTGGCGGCAGTCCGGTGGCGGTCATTAACAGCTCAAGCATGGCAATTAAGTTCAAGATACTAAACAGCGTCCTTTTATAGGCAGGCTTTCTTCGCTATTCATTAGTTGGTTATTGTTGTTGCCACAGTCAGATGCAAAAAGAACGGCTTTAATAGAAAACTGTTCGCCCCATTTAGATATTTATTGTTATTGTCTCGAGGTACAAGCGACCCACATTGATTAGTTAAAGTTCGTAATTTTAAGCAACAAAACCAAAACTTATCTCGTCATAGATAAACTGCAAAAACCTAAGCATCTTAAGCAAGAGACAATTTAATTTTTGTTGAAGACAATCTAAAACAATTTATCTATTTTATTTATTTATTTAATGTGTGCTAAAAATGTGTATATAATAAATATACAATATAAATAAATTCGTTGCAAACTTCACGACAAAATTATTATACTCCTTACAAGGGTATAAAAAAGTTTGACTACTAAGAGTTGGCCTACTTCTTAGGTCTTAGGTTACCAAGCTGAGGTGGAGCAACCTTTCAGATAGGCCTTTCCATAACAAAATCGGCTGCGGTATCATCAGCAAGTCGTGCTGAAGATGCAGAATCAGTGCGTACTCCGTGCTTCGCATATCGGATATATGTTGCCTGTTCGAGTCTTCCCTTCACTTCAAACTTGCCGATATCAGTCTTCTCCACGAACAACTCAATCATAGTTCCATCTGAATGACGAATTCTGTAAGCATATCCCTTATTAAGTATAATATCAAAAATACGACAAATTAAACCCACATCAAATGGTATTTGTTATCAGCAGTGGGCTCCAGTTCAATATTGTTTCCTTTAAAACGTTGTGCCAGCTGCGACAGAGCTGAGTTAACAATCAGTACAAAAATCAGCTGTAGAAACCTCAAATTTAAAATCCAATCAATGCACGGAAAATATGTAACTTACCAAGCTTAACGTAAATCGAGACATCTTTTCGTCGACCAATTTAAATTGCTCTCTTAAAAGAATTAGATGTAAAGCTTTCTTACCCGTTTTATAGGATTTCGGTTGAAAGATTTAGATGAATCGCATCGATTCGTTATGGGCTTTTTTTTTAAATAGGTTTAAAAATTGGGCAGAACTGGAACTTTTACATCTATAACACTTTTCATGGTCGCTGTGAGCAAACGAAATACTGTGTGGTAATGGTTGTTAAATATTCATGGTTTAACAACATTATATGCTATATGAACTGTTATACTGTTATAATATATGTGTTCTGCAACTTTTATTCGAACTGTTATACACTTAATTTCTTAATAATAATCTGGCTGCATACATGCACATATACTTCAACATGCTGTCAGCTCAGAAATCAGCAACAGCCACAGTCGTCATGAAATACTTAGAGTACCCTTCCGTCAGCATCTCATCATTACTTTCAAACAGCTTAACTACTTGTATGCATATATATATACATATATCCAAGCAGCGTGCCACAGACAAACTGTCGGGGCGTGTGCGCATTGCCTCGAGCCAAGCGTCTGGCTGGCAGAGGTCCGCTGAGCACCCACAAGCAACAACAGCAGGCATTCCTTAGATGAACCCGAAGCGGACGCTGCGACCATAGTTGATGATTATGCCAGCTGACCTTAATCACAAATTTGCATGCGCGATGGGGTCTCGAGCCCAAGACAGCCAAAAGACTAACAGAAATGCTGTTGTTTGTTGCAGTTTGGCGACGCATGCAGCTGCAACAGGTGCAGTCTTCGCTAGTTGTAGTCACACTCGTTGCGGAGTTTTCTGCGGCTATATGCAATTCTTGCCGCAGTCGGTACACCCACGCACGACCTTAGCAGCTCATTGATTTCTTTGGCCTCATGGCTGCTATTTTAATCCGTTGCAAGCTATAAATGAATGCCATTCAACTGCATATTTTGTAAGGTCGCTTAAGAATGAGAAAACCGTTGTCGCTGGCCTGGCCTGGGAACGGGGCAACACCCGCAATTGATTTTGAGTTTTTTTTAGGTGGTATTTTCTGGGGAGTTGCAGCTGCAGTGCACAGCAGCTTGATTTATATGACAAGAGCTACAGTGAAGGCCGTTGCTCATATGGCAAAATAATTGTCAACAGAACGGCCCATAAAAGCCGTGCGTCGAGATACGAGCTCGATACCAGACACTAATCAACACATATTGATCATATGCAAGTGGTCAACAGACCGTTGGACTGACTGTCTATTAATTAAGCAACAGAACAAGCAGCAACAGAGAAAAAAGTCAACTGCCGTTTTGGTCACTACACGTTCACCCAGCTACAAATTGCTGTTGCCACTTCGGTACGCCAGCCACTGAATCTTTGGCCAGTTGAATGCAGGTTCAGGCGACCAATATGCTTATCGTGACGGCATAATCGCCAATTGCGAGCACTGTGGACAATGAAAATGGTCTGAGATCGCATTCCCGACCAGTAGTTGCAAACAGTTGAGGATGACATATGACTTGGACGGGAAAGATGTTGCGGCTGAGCATGGGGCTTGACCAGTAAAGAGGCAATCTGCAACTCATAATTTATACACAACGCGTTGTCCTTGTTGACTTCTCATAAATGCGACAGTTTCCATAAGACATCTACGACATGTAAAAATGGAATGAAATACGGAATCGAATGCTTCCACTGCCATAACTTTTCTCAACAAACTGTATCGAGATTAAGATTGCAATTAAATTTCAAAACGACTATTCATGTTTAAGTTGTGCTCGACAAAACCAATATCTAGGGACAGGACCAATATTTCCTACAGCTATCTGAATATGGTTTAACCTTTAACATTTAAATTTTTATGCACAATATTCTTATTAAAGTTCGACATATCTGTTAATATTCATCAACTATCTTGATTTCATATACTAATCTGCATATACTTGAGCTTGTTATTTAATCATGGACAAAGCTGAATTAACGGAATCGTTTAACAATAAAATTGCAAACATTGGATTTGATTCAGAGTTTGGTTTGCCAATCCCAAGTCAATTTGAAACAAACTTGTGGCCGGTTAACGACAAATGACATTCAAAAAGCTATGAATTTTATGTGCACTCTATCGGCAGCATGAATGAGGCAGCCTTATGCGGGTGCTCTTGGGCCAGGCCAAACAGCCAAACAGCTAAACAGTCAAAAGCCAAGCTGGTTTCGCCCCCATACCGTCTGCCGTCTCCGGCCTGCCCCCAAGCGCAGTGCGGTGTAATTAATGCGACAGCAGCTGCGCTTTGCAAAGCACCCCTTCACCGCCGCCGTGTCCGTTCCTTTGGCGTGGTTGGCTTATCTGACGCATGCATATTAAAAATCTTTATAGTCTTTTGCGGTTTGTCTTTGACTTTTTTTTGTTGTTTTTTTTTGTTTTTTGGCAAGCATTCGATTTAGAAAATGTCTCATTGGGTGCGTGAGTGTGGGAAACCTGCAGTTTGCTGTCGCTTGCAACTAGCAGCAGCAGGCGGGTGAAATGGACATGAGTGATTCCAATCGCAATCGTCCGCCTGGCGCTGCCAAACGGAGCACAGCAGCCGCACAGACGATTGGAATCGGCAAATGACTGCGGCATCGGCATCGGCGTCGGCGTCGGTGGCTGCCTCCTACAAGTTTCATTGCTTGGCTCTTTGACAGCAATTTTATTTAATTTCTGTGCTGATGATACGCAAATGATAAGGAGCACATTTCTTGGCTAAAATTGCATTTCATTTGCGCTCAACAATTTATATAGACAGCTAGAGGGCATGCAAATGGGGCGACTCAAACTTTTAGCCACCTGCCTTTGGCTTTTGTGATCAGCGTCAACATGATGCGACTGCAACTTGCTGCCGTGTGGACCATAAAACAAGAAAGGAGCATCAATAACAAACGACGAACTTCTCATACACTTTCCCGCACCTCAACAAATTCAATCCCGGAAGCTGGGTTAAGATGTGAATGCTTTAAATGCGTTAAGAATAAATTTCAGTGAATTTGCCGCTAATTTAATTATGTTTTTTCTGTCAATAAAACTGTAAATATTTAATGAATGAATCAACGTAGTGAAAGTCTCTTTCCTTAAGAACAAATTTGTATACCCTCGCTAGGATAAGTCATATCTCGAATTCCGTACCCAAAAACAAGAGCGTCCAATTTGTGCGGCTTGTCGTAAAGTTTTTTTTTCCGAGGCTTCAGCTCCTGGAACGGCAACCATTCATTTGGTTTTTATGAGTCGAGCAGCCTGGACGACATCGCAGTCGTTCGTCTGACTTGATTAGAAGCAACGACCAGGTGGTAAGCTTGGGTTGCTTCGCCTGTCTTGTCCTGTGGCATGTCCTGTTGATTTACGTATGTGCTTATTGCAGTTTTGCAGCATGTGCATGCCCCACGCCCAACACCCACAAGACAAGCGACCACCTGGACCACCATTGCCTGGACAAATTGTCTGGCATTTTTTGTTTGTCAAAATGTTTAACCCGTTAATTGTGCGATTAATCGCTGTATTAGACGCTGCCAGCGAACACTAAATCAACAATTGGCAACGCAAGCACACTTGCCATAGGAGCTGTAGTAAGAGATGCAAGCTGGATCCGCGATTGCAATTTGTTTGCCACATTCGCAATTACGCAAGCTGCCCACAAAAGCAATACCCACCTTGCTAAGGGGAGGGGGCGGGGGGGACTAACCAATAAATAATGAAGCGAAGCAGCGGCACGTAACAATCGAAGAGGAGACGACGCCCGTTCATCAGCGCCCATCAGCTGCAGCTGGCCAGAGTTAAAACGCAACCAGGCCAAGTCTGGCCTTGATCGTGCCGCACAGCTTTTGTCAACCAGAGAATGAGAGAAAGAGAGAAAGAGAGCGAGAGAAAGAGAGATGAGAGATATAGGGGGAGAGGGGTTATGATTGCAATCGTGAGCCGTTGATTGCAGCTGATATTCATCAATATGAAACAATGCCAGGTTGTAAAAGTCTCAACGCAACAGCTACTTCAGCTTTTAGCACCTGCAATCGGGAAGGCATCTTCTCATCATTGGCTTTATTAAGTTGTAAAATGCGAAACGCAGTAAATGTGTGTCGCTCACCGACGACGAAATACTCTCTAATGCATTCTTTCTAAAGTTGTTCAATTTAAATGTTTTTGTTCCTTAACATCGAAAATAGTATGTATTTAACACAGATCTTTCGGTATATTTTCAAATCACATTCAAATCGTTTAGCAGTCGGATGGAAACTTTTGTTTCAGTTCCGTTGAAGTTGTTTGTGAAGTAAGTAGGCTCCCTCGCCAGAAGATCATGATATCTTTAATGAAGCCTCACACAGCTGCGCTCGTCTGTCAGGGGTAATTGATTACGCGCTCCCTCTGCTACCGAATGGGAGAAACCGAAACTCCCTTTTGGCCCCTGCTCTGGCGATGCAGATCACTTCCAGACATGACGAGCCCCCGATTCGCTTTGGCGCAGAGCCCCAAAGTGCGTGTGAAGCCGCCACGAAGCCTTGACAGCTGACCGATGCCTGGGAATCCAATGTGGCATCTGAGCTACGCATTGATTGAGAACTGGCTGGCTGACTTGGCTGGCTTGTTTGGATCTCACATTGCGCATACGCCACGTGCATCAATTTTCCAGAGATGTCGACGGACGTCATCAACTTCTGTATCTCAACATATGAAGCAATTTTTAATAATTGACAATTAAACTAACAATAATTGACAATAAATATTAAAGCGGCGACGCTGCAATTCATGGCGCGTTTTAGCCATATAAGTCAGACCCTCGTGCGGGGCTCGTCATCAGCAGCTCAACGTCAAACGGCGACCGCCTGACAGTGTGTGAGAGCGCCTCGAAAGAGAGCAGCATCGGCGGCGGCTTGATATAACTCAATTAGCTGAGAGCTCGAGCCGATAAATCAATCACGAAAAACAGCGCCCATAATCAGAGCAACAACACTGAAATGAGTATCAGTGGCAACCCGCAGCTTGGCACCTGGCTGAGTTCGGCGGCCAAAGATCAAGAC